GCTCCATGCAGAAGGAACCCGGGCCGGGAATCGAGCCTGGAACTTTCTTGCTGCACTGCGAAGCCCACTAAGTGGCTAATCACTATCAATTCATTATTTTACTTTTTCAATAAGATTTACACCTTATACATAAAGAAAATCATAACTGAAAAACAGCTTTTTTGTGCTCATTTAGCTCATCTTGTTTGGCTATGATTATTTTGATTATGTGCAACATTTAAGAGACAGATAACTTTGGTGATCCTACAAATTTCCTTTTACCACCATAGAAAGCAGACATAAAGATTGACTTATAAATACCACTCATCAAAAACAGTTTGACACAAGCACCAATTTAACATGATTAAGAACTAAGGAGTGTATTAAATAACATTTACAGACTTAAAAAGAAAACGCAAATACTTTTAGCTGTTATATATTTAAAAAAACCTTTTCATTTAAAGAGAAATCAAAGCAGAGCAATTCATTCTCCTAAAAATTTCTTGTAAGTAAGGGTGAAGGAGTGATTTTTAAAAAGAAGCATCATTTTCAGGTCTGACCTCGTAACCCTTTTCACAATAAATTTTTAGTGTGTTGACTGATGAAACCAAAACTGTTCTGGCTCTTCAGCCTGATTTTCCTGTTTTCATCCATTGCAGATAAAGATTAAAAAGTACAACAACACCGTAAAAAGAGGAAAATCACAACTGAGGCAAATAATTTACCAATAACTCTTGCATTGGACAAACATCCCAAACATGCACAGCCTTGACAGGATAGCAGAGACGTGCGAAAAGAAATGTTACATTTTTTCTCACAACAACTAAATTACAACTTTCAGGGTTTTTGAGGAATGTTTTAATTAAATTTTTCTGTGATAATCTGGAATATAATTTTTGATACTGTGGAGAGTGAATGAAGTTAATGAGAGATGAACCTGGCAGAGGTTTAAAGTACAGGCCTGATAAAAATAAATGTTTTTTTTTCTACAAAAAAGAGTCATCAGAATCCAACTGACCTCTTAGTAGTTGTACAGTATGATCACAATTTTATTAAAATACGATAATAAACATTAATGTTTAGAAAGAGCAATTTTATTCCATACCAAAATGTTTTGTAGTTTCTTTTACTAAGATATATATATATTTTTTCTGCGTGCTTTAAGCCTTAATGATATGGTCTGATAGTTGTAGTGGGTTTGCTGAATTAGTAATGAGCAGTATGCGGCTAACCTGCAGTAAACGGCCATCTCAGGATAAAATGAACAGCTACTGAAATAAAGTTATCTGAAGTTCAGAGTCAATTAAACTAATGCTAAGAACTAAGAGTTCTGTCCTCTGAACTGTACTGTTCTACCAGCTCTGCATTTTTAGGTTTTACTGTAGTGAATTTGGGATAACTAATATTTTTGTGCTCAAATAATGTATAATGTGATATCAAAATCAATAATGTATAATCTAAAGAACAATATAAAAAAGGTGTAGTCCTATTTTGCTGGACTGCTTTAAGCTTGTGAAATGATGACATCAGATGAGCAATGAAACAGAAAGGATCTCAACAGAAAGGCATGAATCCATTCTGTCAGTAAAGTTGGTGTTATTCATTTACACTACAGCCTAGCCTGGTAAACCAGACTAAATGTGGGATTAAATGTGTAATTTAATCTGGGCCTGATGAATGAGACATCGGAAGATTGTTGATGAGAACAACCTGTTGATTTTCAAACCATGTCTCTGCCTATTGGCCAACGCTTTGACCAATGAACACAACTGACTGTGAAGTAGGAAGCGCGACAGAAAGCTGGTGGGGGAGTGTAAACAAACAGCCTGAAGAATACCTCTTCCTGCTCACGTTTCAACGAAAACCCCAAGTCTAATCCTTCCAAAACTGATTCCAAAGCTGAGTCAAACAAGAACTTTTTAATAGTCGCACAGCTTTATCGTCACGCCCAAAAAAACCCGCCCGCTTTGCATCCAGATATTCCAACCACATCTCTGCGTTGTGATTGGCCAGCCTGATTTGGGGCCTGGGGCATTGATCGAGGCTAGACCACTCGCAGGCAAAAATGATTTTGGCCGCTGGTGGGTGGGGCTAGTTTATTTGGCTAACTAAAGCCCCTATTCCATTGAAAGCCCCAGGATTTATGTTACCCAGCTAAACCAATCCCATTTTTCTCATTACTCTAAAAACCTCAGTCTGGGAAAAAAAAAACACACTTCCAGTGAAGATCAGCTATAATGAAATATTCTAAAAAGTTTAAATATATATTTTATAGTTTTTGATTTTCTATCGACCTGCATCTGGGCAGTTTTTTTTTCTAACAGCATGAAATGTTTAAAATAACTACTAAAAATGTTGACACAGTTATGCTTCTTTTGTTATAATAATGACCAGGTAATTCTCAGATATCTGCAGGACAAACAGAATTGTTTCAGTTAAAAGCTAATTATTAAATTAAAGGTGCTCATCTGACAGAACACCGGCCAGAGAGCACAGGACTCTGTGGCTTCCTCATAGAGTTGAACCTAGGCTATGTCTGAATGTACCCTCTCTCTTCAAATCATCTTAAAATTATTTTGTGGCAAACTAAAAGCATGAAATCAACTTGTACACTTACCTTCATTGGTTAGTGCCGCTATTGTTGGTACAAAGCATTGCAGATGTAAAAAAACTAAATAGATAGAAAGCACTAGGTCCCCCCTGCAAAAGTAAGTTGCTTGGGCAAATGTTTTTGGTGTTCTCAATAGCCTCTGGCTTTTGAAAAGCAATGTCAAAGGGCCTCATGTAGTTTAAGGCCCCGTCCACACGAAGTCAAAATGAACACGAAACGTTAATATTTTCCAGAACGTTTGTCGTAAAGACGGAGACGTAAAATAAATGTGATCGTCCGCACGAATGCATGAAAACGCTGCAAAATGTATGCCAGGCCTGTAAGTGGCGCTGTGGTGCCAAAGCAAAAATAGGTGACGAAATGTTGGGCATGCGCACTAATATTTATACATGGTTGCCCTGCGGGTCCATTTTCGTGGTTCAGTCAAATTCAGGTGCTGAACTATGTCGTTGATATTGCTCTGTTCTTCCTGGAGATATTCCAGAAGAAGAAGATTCTGTTGTAAGCCCGACAGCAGGGTGAGTAGCATGAGCAGCAACCATTCAACACAGTACGGCGCCATTGTTGTTGTGATACTGTGTCGCGCATGCGTGTTTAGAGGCGACGCTATGACGCATGCGTGTAAGAAAAAAAATGCGGTTAGAGCTTAAAGATGGAAACGTGAAAACGGCGTTTCAAAATCTTCCCACTCTGAAGGCTTAATAAAAAAAAAGATTGTTTACAGACCCCGAAACGCCGGCTTCGTATGGATGAGAGGCTGGTTTGGTGAAAAATGTGTGCATTTAGGCCAGGGTTTGACTTCGTGTGGACGGGGCCTTATTCTAAAGAATTCAATGGCGATCTGTATAGCATGGCCAGATAGGAGATGGCATGGACTTTGCTTACCTTGCAAAAAGATTAATTGTAGCGAGACAAACTCCTCAAAATACTTCCTGCTGTAAGCCGGCAGATGCGTTTGCAGTGATACAGAAAGGTTTCGGTCCAAAAAAATGCGCTGATGAATATGATGTTAAGGCATCAACCTGAGGAGTAAGGCTGAAGTTTCCTTAATGTGGACTGAATGGCTGCGTTGGACGTGATTTTTGCCTCTGTGGATGGGAAGATGTGTGCGCATTTCTGATTGATCAATTAACACTAGTTGTGAAACACAGCAAGCTGCTACTGCTGCTGTGATTGGCTAAAAACTCAACATGGGAGGCAGGTACCCAAACAACTGGAAGAATTGTACCAAACACTTTCTACCTGAGGCTTCCCGGATCAATCTGTGTAGTTCAATTTGAATTCTACACGGTATCAATCTGGCTTATGTCAGGTTAGGTTGCTTCCAGGACAGATCAGGCAGTTAAAGGAGCAAAGCGAATTTCCTCTCAGGTTTAAGTTTCCTAATAGGTTAACTAAGGAGTTAGGTTAGTTTCTACTTCAGAGCAAACTAACTTCTTCTGAATGTTATATTGGAAGGAAATTAAAGAAAAGCCAGTTGAGGGAAAAGCTAACCTCTAAGAGTCAGTTTTCAGCACTCCAGGAAAAAAGTTTATGTATATTTGCTTTGTTTGGTTCTAAATAACAGCAATCCTTAAAAAAAAAAATTCTTACAGGTACAATTAGAATTATCTTTGAAGCTTTCACATTTAAATAATGCACACCATCCAACACTTAAACAAAATGACACAATATTATTCTCTGACTAATATCTAAGTTGTACTTTGCAAAGGCAGTCATTGTCCCATGTGTGCTCCTCATACTTCTATCCTTACATAGAATTTTTACCCCTTGGTTTGGCTAAAAATGGTCATTTACACAGTGGGCCTTAGTGAGGCATAAACAGGATGCACAGGGATTGACTTCAGTAGACTCAAATGCTTGCTGAGCCTTTTTTTTTAATATCTCATAAATCAGAATTACTGAAAACAGTAATCGTTTATTGGTGAAAGATTATCTTAAGCTATTATTTTGTATTCAATTAACTGGAACAAACTGAATGTTGTTTAGTTTAGAAAAAACATGGAGAACCAAAACACTATTCTTATGTAAAATTAAAAAAAAAAACAAAGCAGTATAAAATGTGCTTTCAAATCTGATGTGTTTAGTCTGTTTGAAACAAACTCACTTGTTTACCCACTCCAGTTTTGTTTGAGTAGAAGTGAACACAGCATTCTGATGAGTGTGTGGACTGAAAACCGAGCAGTTGAGTCGTTTTTATGTCGGGAATGTGATCCAAATCTGTAACCGTGTGAATTCTGCAAGCTTGAGCCAAAAGCCCTTCTGCAGCCAGGTTTTTCTGCCATTGTTAGAGTGGATTAAGTGATAAACAGTGGCTGCTCATCTCTTTTGTAAAGCATTAACATCCATGCAACCTTCAAGAACTCTGCTGAAATTAATTGGTACTCCTCTTAAATAACATTACCAGAAATAGCAGCATGAAACAAAATAATAATTTAATTACATTCTATACATTTTTAACCCACTAAGAAAACTCTTAGCAATACATAGACTGAATAACTTTGCCTGGTTTTAGTGGCAGATGTTGGTTTGCTCTGAGTTTTCGGTCTGAAAAGGAATTAAACCACTCACAAAAGTAAAATGTTAATAAACTTATTAATTAACTTGCACCAAATATGTACAGGCATAGAAACAGCAAAAAACAGGATAAGCCTGGCTTTAGATCAAACGGCTAGGTTATTTTTGGTTCTTGCCCTTAAATGGTGGGAGATTTCATTGGCTGTAAAGATGGCTCCTCCAAATGGTTCTTCCTTGTTTCTCCAAATCTAATTATGCTGACCGCCTGTTAGTGACTACTGCTACTGACAATAACATGTCAGAATTAATAAAGGATCCTATAAGTTTTCAACAACAGTCCAAAACATTTGAAGGGTTGATATTCTTATTCCACAAAGCAGCACACACGATAAAAAGGGTTGCCCTTGAGCAAACAACAGCTCTTACAGAACATGTTTCAAGGAACTGAGAAAAGATTAAAAAAAAAACCTGCTTACACTGTGCAAACATTCATTCTTGCAGAAAAAGTGCCATCAGAAACATTACAAACACAAAGTTCAAAGTTCTTTCACCGACCACGCATTACTTCCACATTTACATTTTAGATATTTACAGTTTTTAAACAAGTATGTGAACACCTCTCAGTTCCAGTATTGCTGTCTGTTTAAGTCAGCATATAAACAATATACAGCAGAAGACAAAACTGTGTGCTTTGTTCTTTTTTACCCCCCCTCCCGAGACCATTTTGCATCCATTAAAGTGTGTAACTGGCTGCTAGTGCAGTGTGAAGTCCTGAGGCATGGTCAGACAACTGTCTGCAGCCTCTTCTTAGATAAACAGCAGCAGATCATCCCAACAGGCCTCCAGTTACATGAAAAAGTCTTTAGAGTTTTCTCCAGAGACGTTTTGGGCATCAGTCTGGTTGTTGTAATGGAAATCTTGGCTGTCTTCCTGTTTGGCTCCCTTGACTTCACGACTTCTATACGTCTCTTTTCTCCTGTAGAGGATTCTGGCAGTTATGGCGAAGACGCTCACAATCACAAAGATCACAACTGCAATGACACCTGCAGAACAGAGAGCATTGTTGGTATGTGCATCCAGCACAGATTATACTGACATACAAATATCTGAAGCATACCTACAGTTGTCATAATAATATAATCTATTTCTTGGGATTCTTTAAACAAACTTTGTGCTTTGTGACTATAATGCTATTTCGGTAAAGTTCTCTCTAACTTGTTAAAAGCTGAAGATAAGAACGTTCCTTCATGGTTTAGACATCAAGCTGAAAAATCTAAGTACGGGGATAAGATGACAGCAAGGTTTTTCATCCTGAATTGTTTGTTTTTATGGAAAAAAATTAACTCTACTTTATTTATGCACAATGGTAATATAGTAGCTTTGATAACTAGCATATAAAATGACATCATTAAATGTCTGAAGCAAGCTAGGCAAGCAGTTCCAGGCCACATTGGTGTTGCATATAAAAACTTTGCATCTGCTGACATATCGTTGTTTTCATTTCAGCAGGCCAGTCATTTTTATGTACTTAGGGATAAGAGCAAAGTTTAAAAAAAGAAAAACTATTATGAATTTTTATGCTCCTAAGGAGACAATCTATCTGTAAAGAGAAAGATTTAATGACATCATAGTCATGGCAGCGCCTGGTGGCAGCGACCAGTTATGGCAACAGAATACAAACTATGCCATTCAGAACGCTACAAATGTACAATGCTTATATTTAATCACTGCTGCACTTTAAAAAATGTTATTTAGGCCCCGTCCACACGAAGTCAAAACGAACACGAAACGCTGATATTTTCCAAAACGTTTGCCGTAAAGACGGAGACGTAAAATAAATGTGAGCGTCCACACGAATGCATGAAAACGCTGCAAAATGTATGCCAGGCCTGTAAGTGGCGCTGTGGTGCCAAAGCAAAAATAAGCGACGAAATGTTGGGCATGCGCACTAATATTTATACATGGTTGCCCTGCGGGTCTATTTTCGTGGTTAAGTCAAATTCAGGTGCTGAACTATGTCGTCGATATTGCTCTGTTCTTCCTGGAGATATTCCAGAAGAAGAAGATTCTGTTGTAAGCCCGACAGCAGGGTGAGTAGCATTAGCAGCAACGGCGCCATTGTTGTTGTGATACTGGTCGCGCATGCGTGTTTAGAGGCGACGCTATGACGCATGCGTGTAAAAAAAAATATGCGGTTAGAGCGTAAAGATGGAAACGCAAAAACGGCGTTTCGAAATCTTCCCACTCTGAAGGCTGAATAAAAAAAAGATCGTTTACAGACCCCCGAAACGCCGGCTTCGTGTGGATGAGAGGCTGGTTTGGTGAAAAATCTGTGCGTTTAGGCCAGGGTTCGGCTTCGTGTGGACGGGGCCTTAAATTTAAATTTTGTATTGGATATATATATATATTAAAAAAAAGGAGTCTAAGTCTACAAAGAATAAACATTCAATCAAAAAAGTTTCCAATCTTTACAGGAGTGTACATCCAAGGCAATTGATGTCAGGATCAGATCTGCAGAATCCCAAAGGCTCTCTCCTAGAGGCATCAGTTCACATGTTCTTTAAGGTTCAGTATAGAACATTTTGAAAAAAGTCTGACTTATAGAACAAAGTTATTTGGATAAATGAGAGCGAGTAGATATTTTTACCTTTAGGTGGACATGATCTAGCCCTATAATGCCAAATGTATCATATTTGATACATACGGTTTCTGAAATGTTTTGCTTCTGACACCTTTTGCATAATTTAATGGTAAAAACTTTGCTCAAAATCCTATTGTCAGTTTTGTTTTATTCTTGGATCGGGCTTTAAAGGGTTAAATATAAGCTTGTTGTACAGCTATAGAAACGTCAGGTTTGCTGGTTCACATTTTACCTGGATATTTTACTATAGTTCTGTTTCCATAGAATTTAATGTGAATTTCAAGCAAACTTGTCAGAAAAGAAGACATTCTATTCAATGTTATGCAAATTACCGAGATGATACAAAGTTTAATGTTATACGTTTAGGTTACGCTTGGCTATTATAAACAGGATGCAAAGGTAACAAGTCAATAACCAGCTCAAGTTTGTATAAATACTTTTGTTTGTAAATTCAGTCAGTTCATTTAAATGTAAATGTTAGCATCAGACAGTTTAAAATGTGCATAAAAAAAATGCTTAAGGAATCTTTTGGTAATTTAAACTTGAAACCCTTCTAATATAGAAATAAAGGCCATTAAAGCCCTGAAAAAAAAAAAAAGAAATGAAAAGAACGGCACTGCATCAACAATCTATCTTAATGTTAATTGCTTTTCTTAATTAAAAAGGCTGCTGCTGAGCAGATATCATCATTTATCAAGTGTTTCTGAGTACAGAGGGCCTCATACTCTCCACGCTGCTTTGTACAGTGCTTAACCTTCACACTCATGTTGCTTATAAAACCACAAACCAACCATGACAAAATTTATGTAACATCATAGATGCTGAACGGCATAAAATGAACTTGAGCCAATAACTGTTTTTCTGCTGGCTAAACTGAATGATTTATATTTTTATAGAACATGAGGATTTTATTCTGTAAAATCACCTTAACGTGTTTCTTCTATTCCAGAAATTTACAGGAAGAGAAGGACCAATCAAGATCCACACAGGATTTTAAAGTGACACTGACTTTCAGAGTCCCTAACTAGCCTTTCATGTTAGGGCGAGTTAAAGCAGGTTTCTGCAGGATTTGCTTTGTAGCTCATTTTCAGCACCTTTCAGTAAAATAAACCCATATTTGTACCAAATAGTCTAGAGTCATGTATGGAGGGGCTTCTTCCAAGCTAGAACAAGGAGGCAATGAGGTGATGTTGTAAAAAGCAGAGATGGACAAAGTTACTCAACAGTGAAGGATGAAATGAGAGAAAACAAATGCTGCAAGAGATGCTTCTATGAAACTCTGGATATAAGAATTTAGTTCAGCAGATTTTCCATTTTATCTTGGTCTACAAATTGATCTACTATGTGTTTTCTACCCTGGAAGTTAGATTTTAATTCAGTTCCAAGTGGTTAAGCTGCATGATGTTCTCACTCTAGAAATAAAATCTGACCTATTTTTTTTTTTTTCTTCAGTAAAAACTGAAACTGGGCACCCGAAGTTGCTGCTATTTTGCAGGAGATGAATTAAAATAAACCGAATGAATATTCCAACAGTAAGTTCCAATTCTGCCCCCCTGGTTGTGATACTGTTCTGCCTCTGAACCACTGATCCCTGTCAGACCTGTTTTTAAAGCCTGCAAGAATTTCTCCCTTACAAACTCCTGGTTATTCTATGGAGCAGTTCTCATCTGTGAACCTCCATCATTGAGGAACCAAATTCAGGATCCTAATCAATCCTCGGATTCAGAAAAGGTTAGTAGCTTTCAGTTTGAATTCCTCTAATTCCCTGAGTTGCTGAACCGCCGCTAACCCGATCCCTCTGCCCATAATGGCTCCTGTGCCTGTTTGAATTTTATTAAACCATCAGTTGTGCAAGGCTAAATGTTGGGTCTCCAGAACCTTTTTGTTGCAAAATTTGTCAAAAAGATTATTATATATAAAATTAGTAGATCAAATTTTAATTAATTTTATTGGAGCATGGTAATTTTATCTAACAAACATTTGATAATACAGTGCTGTTTGGAAGCACTTCCCTCCTTTTCATATTCATGCTATTGCTTAGTAAAGATAATCAATCAATAATATTAGACAAAGATAACCAGAGTTAGAAATAAGGAGTTAATAAGGAGTTTTAGTATAAAGGTTATACTATAAAGGAAAACTGCATTGCAATGAATGACGTCTGTCTGTAAAATGCGTACCGCCTACATGTTGAATCGTGATCAGTCATCAACCAGAGGTTTGTGAGAAGTTAAGTTCAGTTTCTCCAACCGCTTAAATCTAAGTGAGATTCTGTAATATATAGTCCTAAAAAGGGTTTCATTTCTTAAAATCCTCCCATGTGGTTGAACAGTATCTTTTTTTTAATGGAATTTTTTGTGACCAGGAATGACAAGCATCCATCCATCCATCTTCAGGTTGGCACTGGAGCTGGGGCCTATCTCCAACTGTCTATGGACGTTAGGCGGGGTACACCCTGAACAGGTCCCCAGTCCATTACAGATAATCACTACCCAATAAAGCAGTTATTTTTAACTATTTACACTGGTTATCTTTGACTGCAAGAAACAATATTTTGATGATCTTAAATACTTATGATTAAAAACACTACCAGAAAAAATCTCTATGGTCTTTTCACATCACTGTGAACCAAATCCAGATATGGCATCATACTCTACTGGAGAGGGACCCACGTAGGTTACATTTAGGCTAACATGGACACAGATTATTGACTTCAGTCTAGCTCATCATCATCTGCAGGCAGCTTTTTGGGGGCCAAGCTTTTTGAAAAGGATATGATAAAACTGATACAATGCTAAAAAATGTTACACAAGTTACACAAGTAGCAATGGAATGCAAATGGAGAGTGCAGCAATGCAGCGGTGCAGAAAAAAAACACTAATATCAGCCTAAAACATTGACCGGCCAATGTATCGGTCTACCTTTATATCCTACTGGGATGACAAAACATGGGAATAATTAGTGTAAATGTTTTAAGATCATTTTGGTAAATACTCAAATAAAATTAGCTAGAGTGGCTTTTATGAAAGAAATAAATGAAACCTGAGATTTCAGGGTGAACAGAAAATTATTCTACAAAAAGATCATATTTAACAACTCATGAACTGTATTGAGTCCTTTAGTAAATCTACCCGGGTGGTCTCAGCATGTCTCGGTTAAATCATTTCTTCTTGCCCTGCAGCCTGTTTGTTCGACTAACTGTTAAGACTTTTACACAGTCAGGTCCTTCACTTTGACTCATTTCTTCAACTTTCCTCTAATTGGATTCTCAGAATATGTCTGAAATCATTTCTTACTGGATCGTCATGGTTTTAAAACTTTAACACATTTAAAGATTACAGAGGAAAAAAGTTTCTGTAGGGGGTTCAGCTTTAATTAGTTTTACGGTCATTGTGTTCTGAGTGCCAGTTACAGATTTATACCATTTTAACTGACTTTAACAATTCCGATATTTATTTTGTTTCGATTCAAGAAAAGGAATATATTTTTATCCTTTTAAAATATCTCATCACTAATGCAGGACTGTTTCTCACAGATGATGGACGGAGTAGACGGTATGATAGGGAGAAAAAGAAACATCCTTTTTACACATAACATACCTCCAATCAAAGCTGAGTCCCTCTTCATGGCATTAACAAGAGGTTGACCAGAACCCACAGAACCAGACTGGTCTGCAGCGGAGAGAAAATGGGTACAAAGGAAAGGAGGAGAGACATGAAAGAACAATGAGAAGAAACAAGATTAATAATGCACAAAATAAAACTTAAAAGCATTGAAGGCAAATAACAGGATTTTTAAAGCGAGGAAACAGAGTTTTGTCATTAAATTGAATTAGACAAGGAGGCAGAAATACCAGCAGAAATAAATAGGAGTGGTCCAAATCCTCTTCAGGGTAATTTTTACAGAAACCAGCTATATAATTAGCTCATAACACAGCCTTAGAAAACAGAGCAATAGACAAGCAAGGACTCAATAAAGGAGAAATCAGAACATTTTTGTCTAGGTCTTCATGTAATAATGACCTATATCACATGAAAAAACCTTTGAATTTAAAAAATGAATACCTATTAAATACAGAAACCACAAAAACTATTTCATTAAGTTATTGAATTTGTCAATATTTAAAAATAGAAACACAAACTATTGAAGTTGGAAAAAAGTTTATCCGCGTTAATAATTTCATCAAAGATTTACAAACATATGTTAAAATCATGCAGAAAATATTACTTTAAATCAAGAAAGCCTAATAAAATCTAAATTGTATTATAACATTTATTAGTAGAGGTAACGTAATACTAATATAACAATAAGTTTGAAAATACATTTAGTACAAGTGAATACATTTGAAAACTCTTATTAAATACCTCAAACTAAACACTCTCAGCATTTAGACAATTTTAAAATGCTTTTAAAGTAATAGAAAACATGAATAAATTATCTTCTAAATAGTTTCTTTCATGTTCAAAATGAAGTATACGTGCTTTACAGTCTTTCTTTGAGGATTTGAAGGAAGTCCTTTCATTGCTTTTACTAATGTAAACCTGCTGGTCTGTTTGCTGCCTGTCAGGCCATATATTGCTAGCCTGACGTAGTCCGACTCAATTCTAGGTAGAATATGAGTCTGATACTGCTCCATAGAGCTGTGATTATGGTTGTGTTTCGAACGAACCAGGAAAAAAAAAATGCCTCTGCACTCAATTGGATAGACCTACAACCAATAAGAGCAACGGAGTGCGTGACGTATGTTAAGCGAGGCATAGTTGTTGTCCACAAAAATCAAAGCGTGCAGTTGCACGCCTAGAATAAGAAGATGAGACTTGATCGCGTTTCTCTGTTCCTCTTTTTAAATGAATTTGCTGTCGATATCTTCTAGAACAGACCTAATAGCAGAATCTACTCACCTAAACTCTCCAGCGGCAGCCATTATTGTTGTCACCCAAGCGCGCATTGGTCACGTGGTTGATTACATTACTGTTGGTCATCTGTCCATCATCGTATAAAGCCCGCCCTGACAATTTGATTGGATCGCCTGACAGTGGGCGATAATACTCGCGCTACTATGGAGCAGAGCCAGACCGAACTTCCCCGACCTCAAACTTTGTGGGCGGGACTAAGTTCGGAATGGCACCCAGGCTAATATATTGCATAAAATATTCGGATTAAGGAAAAAATTCATAATTGATCAGTTTCATATAAATCAACAGTTGGGTGGTTGGAATCTGGACAATAATCCCAAAGAGACACCAACACTGGTAAAGGTTTAAACTCATAATTCTATCAATAGCTTGTGCATTATGCTTAAAGTCTAGTAAGTAAAAATAATTGAGTATATAAATGCTTGTTTCTTAAGAAGACATTTTACCAAACACTTGTGGGAATTAATGCATATATATTTGGCTTAAATGTATAATTTTTATTCTGTGCAGCTCAAATATTATCCTCAATTACTTGTTTACCCCGTTTATCTTGTAAATTGTACCATAATTCCAAACTTAAAATTCTTATGCTATGTTGATCACTGAAAAAGCTTTTCTGGGATCAGAGCTTAAAGATCTCCAAGAACATTAAAATATTTTTTGAGAAATATTCTTTTGTTGTTTTCACAGTAAATATTAATGCTCTGCTCTTCTGCTGATAACTTAAACACCATCTGTGAATCAAAAGAGCATATGGCTGGGCAATTATTTTCAGAACAAGGAAATGGGCCTGTGCTTGTTTATGAAACATATTTACAGCTGTGGCCTGAGGATATAAATTCAACATTAAGCTCCAACTGAGGCCCATCTGCCTCCAATCATGTATGTCTGGATCCAGATCAGAAACTACAAAGTTTTCTTTAGCATTGTGTTTACTCCTCTGTAAGTGAAAACTATCGACTATAACCCTCTAATTGTGTCATCAAAATAAATATTAACAACTCCGTCCAATCGTTCATCCTACATGTTTATCAGCTTTTACAGCAACACTTTCTTCCTCAGTGTTTCAGCTGAACGAGAAACAGATTTTAACAGTATTGCGATTTTGATCTCAACTACTACTGGAGTTGTAAAAAGGGTAAAATTCTGGTGTTCTGGACCTAAGCGCAGACAGAGGAAGCATGGTGAGTTTTAAAATTCAATGCAAATATAGTTGCTGGTAAACGGGGAAACTGACAGGGAGAGATGCAGCAAAAACTACAAACCCAATCAATACTGACAACTACTGTATGACCCACAATGATGAAGGCTTCAGAAATGGAGAAAACAGGTGCAGACAACGGCAAAAGCAATGAGGCACAGGTGAACAGAATCTACTGGATAAAAGAGTCTTTGGTTGATGAAGAAATTATTATAAAGAGGGAAAATTGCAAGGAAGAAGCTAAGAGAACCTATTTAAAGAAATAAGAGAACAAAAACACAAAACCAACTAAATACAGATGTAAAAAAAACGAGAAAAAAACTGGCAAAAGTAAGAAAACAGAATATGGCAAGCTATAACTTACCAACTCAAAACCAATACTAACCTGCAGATCCTGACACAAACAGTTTAAAAGACATGTTATCTTCTCTTTCTGGCAAGTATTTATCTGATGTTCAGGGTGTAAGTATTTTGGAGCAGCAGATCAGTGATTTAGCTTAAGTGTGTCTTCTTGTTTGTCCTTACCAGAGAGAAAAAATATAAAGTGGCTCAAACAGGTTGTTGCTGCACACCAAACATGCAGAGCATGAAGGCAGCCTGGAGGTTGGGTTGGGAAATTCATTAAGAAACGAGGAAGGAAAACTATGTGGGACCCACTGAGTCATATTGTACCTTGAATGTGCTGCTATACCGCAGTTCAATGAAGGCCATCTGGTTGTTTGCACATGCTCTCTCCACATAAAAAAAACGAATGGACAACAAAACAGTTGTAAGTCCATCACCCAGCGCGCCAATTTTAGGAGCAACATGTGCACCGTTGGTGTGCCTGGGTCTATTAAGTCTTTGCAACACAGGAAGTCCCATAGGTTTCATTGATGGATCTAAATCAAGTAGTCAAATTGTGTTGCATTATGGGATGTGTAGTTTAATTAGCAAAAAAAATAAAAAGTGTTATTCCATTTGATTAAATAAATAAAGAGAGAGCACGCATGTATGGAGGATAAAAAGTGCCAAAATTAAATAAATAAATTCAGCATTAAATAAATAATTAAATGTGTCAATAATTAATTAAATGTGGAATTAAATAAATAAATGTGTCATTCATTAATTAAAACCACGTCACTAATATAAAGTGCCACAATTAAATAAATAAATACAGTGAATCCATTAAAAGAATCTGTCAAACTCACCCATCAAAGTTAGGGGGCGGGGTTAACGCGAATCGAGTCTCTGTAATCGATTTGCTTCGCCTTAATGTGCAGGGTGACCAATCAGGTGTTAGATAACCGCCCCCTAACTTTGATGGGTGAGTTTGACAGATTCTTTTAATGGTTTCGATGCACTGCGACACAGGACCATGAAATAATTAAATGCACACTGAAATAATTATATATATTTTTTTTATAAAATGAAGACGTATTTTATTTAATTAATGACACATTTATATATTTAATTCCTTATTTATTTAATGAATTACACATTTAATTAACTGTTTATCGCTGTATTTATTTATTTAATTCCTCATTTAATTAATTATTGACACATTTAATTATTTATTTAATGCTGTATTTATTTATTTAATTTTGGCACTTTTTATCCCCCCCATGTAAGGAGGCCTTTTCCTCTTCGCGGCCAACCAAGGTTCTAATTCGACCTGTGGTGCTTTGCCGCATGTCTCTCCCCTCTCTCATACCCCCTTCTCCTGTCAGTCTACTGTTGAAAAAAAAACATCGACGAGTGCCAAAAAAAAAAAAAAGAGAATTATTACAGGATGCAAATGTAAGGTGGGTTGAATGTGGCCTGCAGACCTTAAAGTTATCTTTCTAATAGTGAGAATCCTTGTAATCATCTCTTGTGTTACCCAAGTGACAGTCATCCTGTTACCTGATAGGTGGCGTGTGTTCTCAGCCGAGTAGGGATTGGCTGAAACTGATGAGCCGCAGTTGGACCGGACGAGAGGTCCGAGGACTTGGACAGGGCTTGTTTCCGAGTGCAGCAGAGCTGCTTTCAGAGGGGTGATGGATTTAAACTGAACCACTGACAGGCAGCCTGTGAAACCAAGAGATCCCAGACGGGCCAGATCCGGATCCAAGTCATCCAAATCTGAGGATTCAAAAAAGATTTTCACAATGTTTGAAACTCCTTTGGCCTATAATAAAAAAATGCACAAACAAGTAAACAGACTCTGTTTCACTTCATGCTGTTTCCAGAGCTCATCGATTCATTTTATTACTCACATTAGTTCATAAAAACATTCAAATCAGCTGACAGGCTATCAAACATCCAGCGTGAACTCTGCATCCATTATTCCATGAGACAAATCTTCCCTCTCTGCCATTATCTGTTGATTTTACTGACTCAGGCCCCCTCCATCTTTTATCTGCCCTCCCTCGCAGCAGCATAAACAGCAGCTGTTAGAGCCGACATGGCGGCTATAAACAGCTGCATCAGTGTCTGATCAGATGACTGAGAGCTGACTGCTACCTGAACACATCTGCATGTTGATGAGGGCAGCAGGAAACATTTCAGCAGTGTTTTAGCTGCTACTCTGCTCGCTACATCACCTCTCTCCATCTCTTCAGGTCTCCCTGTGTTCTTTCCGGCTCCATTAGTTAGCCTGATGGATGATGAGCTTAGAAGGAAACGACAGAAAATTCAGCTCACTGCTGCTTTTTCTGATGCTGATTTGACTCTGCTTGCTCTCGCTCAAGAGCTGAGATGGTGGGTCACATTCGGACATGACAGGGTTCAACCAAACTGTACAACACCAAGTTTTGAGTTAGATCAATCTGATATATGCTTTGCTGAATGAGGGGTTGTGTTTGTTTTTTTTTTACAAAAATGATGGAGTAAGGCTCCATCATTTTTCTCCATCAGGCTGTAAGGCTCATATCGATTCAGACTAGAGACTGACACGGGAGTGGATTTTCACTCCTGTCCCGTCCCACTCCCACAGAAAAAAATTGTGTCCCGTCCCGATCCCGGGCCAGAGTAGAAATCTAAATCCTGTCCCATCCCACTCCTGGTGAAATTACTCCCACTCCCATCCTGCACCCATTCAGAATGACTCCCACTTCTGCGCCACTCCCATTCTTGTTGTTTTTGAGCGCGGGTGAAAAACTCAGAACGGAAGCACTGTTGGTTTTTGGGTCATGTAGTTTTGAAGACTCGTATTATAGTGTAGGCTTCTAGGAAAAAAACTACAAAATGGCGGCGCCAGTACTGGATTTTTTTCTTTCTATTTTATTTTTTGGCATCGATCCTAGTTTTTTTTAGTTACTATTGGTTTGCTCCTGCTCCCATCTGCTCCCGTTAATGTTTAATCCAGTACCGTCCAAATCACGTGATCATTACTAATACTTACTCCCATCCCACAGGAATCCCACGGGAATCCCGTGACCCGTGGGATTCCCGAAAAAATGTCAGTCTCTAATTCAGACCCCATGAGCCAATAAAGCGGAGAAGCACCTCTTGAAATCTCAGTCACAGATCATTTGTTTTGCATATCTAAATACCAGACTTGCTGCAAATGTTTAATGCAAATTAGTTTGAGTTTATCATCAGATTTTATACCGGACTTTGACTAGACCATTAATGGCACATGCATTACACACAAATCCTCTTGCATTGTAGCTCTGGCTGGCATTAGGGCAAAAGATGAAGCTCCATCCCAGTTTCAGGATTTTTGCAGCCTATCAGGACTCCCTCCACTGTGTTTCATTAGATTATTAAATTCTATAAAAGACATGCATGCCTACAGCATGATGCTGCTGGCTTTAAACCTGGCTGTTAGGTTTTTCTGTTCTCCATTATGCTCTCTTTCCAACATTTTCTCTTATAAAGCTCTGATGCCTTAACAGAGTAGCTGTATTTTTACTGATATTGAAGCAGAAGAAATCAGGTTACTGCTCCATCTTCCCTTGAAGTCTGAATATGTTTCACTCCAAATCTAATTTGGTATCTTGTCAGATCTGGACTTGAGCTGCTGTTTCTCATGCATAACTTGGTCAAATATACCACAATTATGTTGGGAGAAAATTAGTTTATGAGTTCTGAGTATAAGTAATTTTCTTCTATAGGAACACGAAATGTCCTTGTGAAGTTTATTTTAAACCTATTCAGTAAATCAACCATAAAAGTGTCTAATCTCATGCCTGGCTGATCTGCGGAGAAGAACCAAGCTCTGTTAGTACAATTCATACCTACAGCATATGTCAGAGTTTAACTGAGTAGGGTTGATTCAATAAAAAAGCAGCTAAGAACAGCTACGATCAGCAATGACAGATCGTTGCTCTGTCAAATCAACCAGAAAAACAATCCTCTAAGCAGATTAAAAGTTTTTCAGGTTTTCTACATTATTTGCTGAAATTTAGCTAATTTTGACATTCATTTGAAGTTCAGCGTGGAACCATTTACTTAAAACTTAAATTCTATTTAATCCTGTTGATTTTTTGATTTTAACCTATTACTGTCTGAAATTTGGAATGATGTAAAGAAGGTTATTTGTGTTTTATTCAGTTTATGTTGTTGGTTTGCTTCATTTAAACAAAGAATAGTGGTTAAAATAGGACTGACATGATGAGCTACTGATTGGATGGATGGATGGATGGATGGATGGATGGATGGATGGATGGATGGATGGATGGATGGATGGATGGATGGATGGATGGATGGATGGATGAATTAATGAATGGATGGCTGGATGAACAAATGGATAAATGGATGGATGGATAGATGGATGGATGGATGGGTGGATGGATGAATGGATGATGAACAGATGGGTGAATGGATGGATGAATGAATGGGTGGATGATGGATGGATGGATGGATGGAAGGATGCATAAATGGGTGGGTGATGGATGGATGGATGGATGGATGGATGAACAAATGGTTAAATGGATGGATGAATGGATTGATGTATGGATAAATAAATGCATTGGTGGATGGATGATGAACGGATGGGTGAATGGATAGATGGATGGGTGGATGATGGATGGATGAATGGATGAATGGGTGTATGATGGATGGATGAATGGGTGGATGATGGATGGATGGATGGATGAATGGGTGGATAATGGATGGATGAATGGGTGGATGAATGGGTGGATGATGGATGGATGGATGCATGAATGGGTGGATAATGGATGGATGAATGGGTGGATGAATGGGTGGATGATGGATGGATGGATGGATAAATGGGTGGATGGATGGATGGATAAATGGGTGGATGGATGGATAAATGGGTGGATGATGGATGGATGAATGGGTGGATGATGGATGGATGGATGGATGGATGGATGGATGGATAAATGGGTGGATGGATGGATGGATAAATGGGTGGATGATGGATGGATGAATGGGTGGATGATGGATGGATTGATGGATGGGTGGATGATGGATGGATGGATGGATGGGTGGGTGGATGATGGATGGATGGATGGTTGGATGGGTGGATGATGGATGGATGAATGGGTGGATGGATGGATGGATGGATGGATAAATGGGTGGATGATGGATGGATGGATGGATAAATGGGTGGATGATGGATGGATGAATGGGTGGATGATGGATGGATGAATGGATGGATGATGGATGGATGGATGGATGGATGGATGGATGGATGGGTGGATGATGGATGGATGAATGGGTGGATGGATGGATGGATGGATGGATGGATAAATGGGTGGATGATGGATGGATGGATGGATAAATGGGTGGATGATGGATGGATGGATGGATAAATGGGTGGATGATGGATGGATGAATGGGTGGATGATGGTAACCTTAATATTCCCATTACACCCTTGGTTCTGCAGACTCATGTTCAGGTATATAATAGTTCTGTATTTGCTTTGTATACATGCAATGAGATCCAAAAGGCTTGGCTGGAAATTTTTGGTAAAAATTCACATATTAAGTGGTAGATCCATCGTACCTCCTTTGTGTGATTCATTTTCATCTGAATTTGACTTAAATTCAACATGGAGAGGCTTCGTGGTGGTGCAGTTTTTACCTCTGTATTGCATTGTATTAAAAATGTCCTGGGTTCAATACCACCTTAGGAGCTTTCTGCATGGAGTTTGAATCTTCTCCCTGTAAATTGTGGGTATTCTGGCCTCCTCCCATAGTCCAAAAACATGATTGTTAGGGTTATTGGTGTCTCTAAACCAGCCTTAAGGGAGTATGGGTGTTCTCACTGTTTCTTCTCAGCACAGTGTCTGAGCAGATCTCTCTCCTTGCAGCATGTCTAAGTTCAATTGTCTGATTGGTCAGGATTGGGATAGGCATTGCTAGATAGGAGAAGTAGCGAGGATTTGTCCCCTTTGTTTAGGTAAGACCTACAAATCGGTAAACAAACTGTGTTTCCTGATTTATAGACCAGATAATGAGGCTGTAAAAAGCACTTCCAAGGTAACGATTTGTACTTCAACACAAAATTCAGATCTTTATAAGAAACGCAGAAGAAGTCTATTGGTTTGAAGCTGGAAAACCTATAGAAAGTTAAAGTGAAAAATATGCAGGGTCTCTGCTTTCAAATTCTTTTAATCTTCTATAGAAAACCCTTTCAGCCTGATCTTCTTTTATCAAATATCTACCTTCCTATTTAAGAAAATATTTTACCATAGTTAGCCTAAAAAAATGTGACTGAAAAATGGAATACACATCCAAAAGACAAAAACTATAAAAAGCTAATATTTCACCCCAAAATACTATAATAAAGTCTGGCTTCTTGGAAGGAAAATACAAATACTGCAAAATTAGGTTAAAGTCTGTAGCACTCTTGAAAAACACTTTTAAATAATTTAGGCAACAAAATCTGAAAATGAAACTAGATTTTCACTATGTCTCGTTGATCAACAGAAATATAATAAAAGCAAGGTAATACAAGATTCATAGCCTCGAATTGGTAAGGATTGATTAATTTCTACTTTCTGTTTTGGCCTCAGACTTTTCTACCAAATCCTTTGAATCAGTCCTGGAGATAACATCTATATTAACTGAAGGAGAAACAAGGCCAAACAGCCCAGAGACGTTATTCTAATAAGTCAAAGAGCCTCTTAACTAAACACACAGTGTTCAGCACCTAACTTACCCTGTACTCGACCCAGAACAAGAGACTTGAGGCTGCTGAGTTCTTCAGCGGAGCTGAGGTTAAAGTCTTCTCTGGCATTATCATCAATCTGAAAGATAAAAAGAATAATGCTCAGTATTTATGCTGAAGAAACAGGCTGAAGATATTTCTTATCTGAAAGGAGGAAGGAAAAAAATATATGCCTAAAACACATTAGGAGATGCGGCAAATGTAAATCTGCTGCAAACGACTGCAGAGATAATTTTCCCCACGATCACCTCATGCCTCTTGCTTTTTAATGCAGATGAGTAAAGATAAAACAATTCAGGACGATATAAACGGATAAGATGAGGCTCATATTTCACTGGAACCTCACAAACGGCATGAATCAGGAGGCAGCACCGGGGCGAGACGAGGTCACCTTGTTATTTATCTCACTGTGTTTATAATTAAACATACACCCACATACACATACCCACTGACTGCTGGGTACTCCGTAGATGCATTTCCCCTCGTATATCATCCGAAGTTGTTAACAAGATCGGTGATTCAGTAAGTCCAGATATGATTAGGGTGCTTCATATTTCACCACATATGGCTTCCCTGTCAGAGCTTCTTCTTGGACACAAGCTGAAGTGACACAAAAGTGCTGAGTAGAAATTTAATACATGGATGAATAAAATGTATCTTGGTACTCCCCTCGGATATTTGCATGAGTCTACAAGCCCTTGAAATGTGCACCTCATTGGCAAATGAAGACTGAGCAGGTTTAGTGTTAATCAGATTTACATCTCGTTTACATCAGCATGCCCTCCACCCAGCCGATGCGGCAGCTGCCGGTTCACAGCAACACGAGCCAACATTTTACCCATAAATCTGCATGTTAAAAGGAGCACAAGCATGTGCATCTATGCAGACTCTGTAGGCAGATGAATCAATTCAACTGGACAAAACGTAACCATCCATAAAAAAATCGCATAATTTGGATGTAAATGCAGGTCGGGGTATCTAATATAAGTCAGCCCACACTGCAGATATCAAATTAAATAGCTCAACGCTACTAAGATTACATGTGACGAGGAATCTTTGAAGATCTCTCATGAAATAAAGCCTTGGTTGCCTGAGATATGCTTAGAATCCTTGTCCTGTTTGTCGTTCCTGACACCGGATTGAATCCATCTTCCCCTCCTCAGGCTACAGGTTCCCAGACCCAGAACGTCATAAAGCCAGTCTCATGCTCAAGTCTTCACCTTGTGTTCTTTCCTGCACAATGTTTTATTCTTCCTAAACCTCTTGGGCTCATTTAAATAGTGAAAGCAGTTCTAGAGAAACTTCAGTTTTGGTCGATTTTGGACCCATTCATGGACAAAAGCTGTATTGTTTTACCTGAAGGAAGACAGGATTTCCAATGAGGAGCAGGTAAAGACCATACCGTGGTAAAACCCTGATTTCCTGGTCGCCTGCAGTTGAACTACATTTCTGTTTCCACTGGCTGTGTGAAAGATTAACGGCAATGAGGTAATGAATCTAATTGTGGTGATACAATGTCAGTTGATGATGTTGAAATAAAGAAATATTTAACTTTGGTTTTATGTAGGTTGAAAAGTTACTTAGTGTTGGTTTAAAAGTGAATGGGAGCCCTCATTTCAGACTGGCAGAGGTGTATGGTTTGGAGTTCAGGCATGTGGTCCTTCAGCCTGTAGTGTGGGCCTTCTGGAGGAAACAGAAGCCTTATATGCTGCTGCTTCCCAGCATTGGTGAAGGTCTACAGCTTTTTTTTTTATCCTCCTATCTCCGCAGGTGGAAAAAGCCACATGTTGATCATATTTTCTGTTTGCCCAGATAGTGAGATGATTTTCTTTTTAATATTTAACTTGAGAGTCATGCTTCAGACTGCAACTATAGGACTATTTAGGAGGTTTGCTCTGTTCATGCATCCATTATGTAGTTGGTGTTTTTCGTATAACTCCACAAAGTTAGTCTTTTTTCTAATATGCGCTGTAACATGACTACTAGCAGTCCACGTATTTGAGATGAACTTGATGCTAAAACCTCAATAGGTTGCATCTGGTGCAACAGAGACAACACCTGGTTCCCTCATCAATAATCCTGCCTCAGGGGTTAAATCAATTAGAGACTTACAGTTACAGGGTAATAGACAAAACCGACAGTGTGGGGTCTTATCAACCGTCCTCTATTAAGATGCCATCCTAAGTAGAAAGTCATATCGGCCATATCACTACGCCCTTTATATCAACACTAACACAAGTTTTACAGATGTTAACTCACAGGAGGGAAATGCATGTTTGATACTTTTACTTTGTTAGAGTAAAGGATGAACCTTTTGCTCTGTTGATGTGTCCACCAGAGCATGTGAGTGGGGTGGAGCGGAATAAATATTTTGGAGCGCAGAGCGGTTTTCAATTCAAAGGCTGGAGAAAGGATTTGTCTATGCACCTGTTCGCTCCGACTTTATTTAAAGTCATGTTTGACTTAAAACCTAGGACCAATGTCTATGCTGTAGTCTGGGCCTATAATCTGTTATAGTCTATGTTTCAGCTTTACCACGGATTAGCCGGGACGAGGACTGCATATTGTGTCATAAAAAGTGGGATAGAATATCATCAAAACATACACTAACTATACTTAAACAGAGTGAGTTTACAAAAAGTTATCGTTGTGGTAAGAGCCTGTTTTTGAAAATGGATCACATACATGCATTATACGCTATTATCTCATTTGCAGTAGGATGTGAAATTACCTTTTTAATATAGTCTAGTAAAAAAAATTGATAATTAAATAGGAAACACGGGGCAACATGAATGGAGCGAGATGTTACATTGAGAGCTGGGGAAACAGTGCGATAATTTAACAGCCAGTTAAATAAGACAATACACAATACACAGTATCATTAACGCCGTGTGTCCCAGGGCCCTGGCATCATAACATAAAGGAAAAATGTCAGAAAATGCCTTCTCCTGAAAATTTGAGGAGAATTGCGCGGCGCTCAGCTAAATTTATATGCTTTGGTGTCCACCTATCAATTTTCTGCAGTAATGTTAAACCTTTTCAATAAAATGGATACAATTAAATTTGGGTTCTATGTCCATAGAAAGTAATTCTTTTTTCTTTGCGTTTCTCCTTCCTGTCCCCTAAATCATCGGCAGTCACTGCAGATAAGGCCTGCACCCCTCTCAAGTCTCTCTGACTGCAGCTCTCATCCATGTGAGAAGACCCACTTTTTAACTTTTGTAACCAAAACAGTAAGTGTGGGACACAGTGCTTTAAAAAAAGTTAAATAAAGGAAATGTTTCGAGATAAACTAGACATTAGCTGATTTGACGGAGGCTGGTTCTGCAGTGAGCTACTCTGCTGTTAAAACAAAGTTGTTTCTCTCCACTGTCACCGTGTGCTTTTCCAGAAAGAGGGACTCTCACAAAGTCAGTAACTGGATAAAACCACCTGGTCTAATTAAGATGGATAACCGTTTACTGGTTTCTAAGAAACTGACTTTAGAATTTCATCTTACTCTTTGGACCAAATTGGTCTGTGTGTAATTTGGTCCCAATCTCACTGTATGAATGGACTGTATTGGACATTATGAATAATCAGATTGGAATTATCTGATCAATTCATTTTAATAACTAAATCTGAGTTGGATTTGATGGTAAACTGGCTCTGCTCAAATAGACTAAGCAAAACCTCAGCTGATTTTATGCAGGTGTCCCGATACAGCATTTTAATTTCTGATTTAATACGGTTATTGTAGCTTTGAATATTGACCAATACCAACATTGACACAATACTATATTAGAACAAATCATACATTCTTTTTATTAGTTATTTTGTTGTGGAGAATGTTAGAAAAGGCTTGATAAAGTGATAATATTCAGAGAACAAAAAAAAAATAAAATAATAATAATTAGAAGAAGAGACCCATTTCATATTGATTAATAGGTAACACAAACTTTAAATATAAGCGTATGGAGCTAAATTAATGACTGCTTGCTTTAACATTGAATGTAAGATTTGGCTTTGAAAATTAAAAAAACTGAAAATTCAAAATTCCCTCTAAAAATATAGAAGCAAAAGTGAAGATTTTTAGCTGCAGCAGTTTTTCATTGACAGATGATGTCAGTGTTACTGCAGAGCTGTGATGTTAACACAAACTGGTACTAGTTTGGCAATTCTGAATTTTCAATGACTGACTTTTCAATATTTACTTTTTCAAAGTTTGAATTTTCAGTGTTTCATTTTTCAAAGCGAAATCTCACATTTGATGTCACAGAATCAGCACCATAGAAAGCAGAGGGGTTTTATCAGCACACTATTAGGTTTAGATGTTTTTAAATGTAGACTAGATATTTTTTCGGCTGATATTGGACTGAAACAACAAGAAAAACCTCCAAACAAAACCTCAGTCGTTACTAAAGTGCTCAAGTCTCCATCTAAGACAGATCTATGGGAGGTCATCTGTTCTTCTTCAGGTGGAATAAAAAAAACCCAAGAACGAGTTTAAGACCAGCCTATATTTAGGCATAGCTTCGCCAAAGTTATCAATAAAAACAAGACTAAGAAAAACGTTCATTTGCTTTGATGTGTTTTGAAAAGATTTTGGAGCCCTAACAGAAGAAAACAGAAAAAAAAAAGAGTAAAACCTACAGGGATTCAGGTGCTGCTCTGTGTGTGTAGCACCTTAATGAGATGGTTTTACCTGCAGAGACACGGAGTCGGCCGACCTCCTGATGCTAACAGTGTGCAGCAGCCCGTTTGCCACTCCCCTTATGCTGCTCCTCAGCACGTCTGCTTCTCTGTTGCTGCCCAGCTTGTATCTCAGCTCCAGCTCGTCTTCACAAACAAGACAAAATAATTAGCCAAGCAGCTGATTTAAATGTCCAAAATCAGAACATCTTTTAGAACTCAATGTTTTTTTTTATTTTGTTTCCTCTGTGAGAAGAAAGCCTTGGTGTTCTATGTACTGTAATCTCTGCCAACAGGCTGGGATTATGTATTTAATCTGTTCAATACAGGTCTGTTTCTGTCCTCTAATTATTTCATTTGCTATATTGGGAGGATAATTCCCTCTCAGTAACACAATGGATTTATTTCTCCTGATATTTAAACATATTACATTGGAGCTTTAACAAAAGAGTTAATAATTACTGAGAGTTTCAGCTATAATGTAATGCTTTTATCAGTACATTGCTCTACAACCTGTTACTGTTTGTTTAAACTCCAATAAATCCTTTAAACTCGTTGAAAACACAACCCGCCACTTGTTTATGAGTAATATTGGGAAATGATGAAGGCTTTTATCTGGTGTTGCTCCATTAATTTGAAATAAAAAGGCCTTCAGTAAAGCACTTGTGCTAAGCTCAGGAGGTTTATCTAAAGTCTTGGTTATCTGAGGGCAAAACAAGGGAAAAAGCTCTTGGGGATCTAATTGGATGCTTTAATTTTAAGATGTCAGCACAAAATCTTAATGCCTCACTTCCTATCAGCTTCCTCTAAGTCATTAACAGCAGGGAAAAAAACATTAACAGCCAATCAAGCTACAAAGTGTTATTTGTGTTTGATTCCTCAATAATAAAAGTCTGAAGTTCAACTTGCATGACTCTGAAACTCACATCAGAAGCAGAACCAGAACATATCATACAGTGAAAACAAGTATTCAATCATTTTCTTAAGCAGTGATGCCATCTGCCTGCTAACAGCAGGATGTTTTCTCATTCCTGCAGCATTCTGCTTCAATAAAAAGATCCTGAATTATGTGGACTGAAAGATTACCTTCTAAAACGCACAGGTCAGGTTCAGACTATTGTCAAAGAAATTAATGTACAATGAACACAAAGTATTACAGCTCATTCACGGCATAGAAATATTTACATTCATAGAGGAATTAATTACAAAGTACATAAATCAGCCTAACAGGTTACCTTCTAGATATTTCATAGAACTTACTTGAAGTTACTTTCTAGAGATAAGATGTTAGTTTGAAGATTTTACACATAACTCTAAAAACGTCTCAGTTAAATTAAGGAACTTACTAAGAGCTTATATGTTAATTCTTATACATTCTAAACATTTCCAAAAGGTAATGGTTGCTTTCCAGAGCTTTCCAGGACTAGATTATTTGTAAGAATTTTCTGGTTTACTGTTTGAACCTTACAGGTCTTCCATACACTATATCGAAATATAATCATTTGATGAGGAGTAATATTTTCAGAATTATCTCTAATTAAACTAATATATTGCAAAATGGCTACAAATTTATTATTATGTATTATTTGTTAAAAAACCCATTTTCTTTTTGTTTTTATTTGATCTTCATACAGGACAGATAAAGTCAGATTGATCTGTTTCGGATCAAAAGATACCTTAATTGTGGATTTTTCCCCCCCCATTACTTTTGTATTGATTATGGATTTAATTCTTGTCTGTTATCAGTAGGAGGATTTCCTATTGGGACAAGTGAACCAGAGCTCATTATTTGTAGGACTTTATTCCAATGCAGCACATTAGCTGCTTTCAGAACCAATACAGAGGGACGCTTTTTACTGACCAAGTCAGGGCTTACATTTGGGTGGTGAAGAATAAAACATACAAACTACATTAAAATCAGAAAAAAGAAACAACTTATTTAACTTTTTACAGTAAATGTTAAATTAAAACAACAGTATGCAACTTGTTGGAGAAGATTCTCAGTCATCCAGGTCATAGTCATTTCAAAAAAAGAAAGTTAAAAACAATCGACTGGACTTTGTCTGCGGGAAGAGATCAACTCAATTGCTGCGTTGTATGCTCTAAAAAGCTGAAACCTGAGTCTAACTCCTCTGTTTAAGGTTGTTTTTTCTTTCTTAACATAGATGGCTTCCTTCATGTCCCTCTCAAAGCCCCTATTTTCTTTGTCCAAAATGTGCACAAGTCCATAAAATGTAGATGTACGTTATGTTCTGCAGCGTCTCTTTTGGATTTCAAACAACAAAGGCCAGTGGATTGTTTTTAACTTTCTTTTTTTTGGAACATTATGCAACCATTTCCATGCAAAACATACCATATACTTAGTATACTGTAACATAAGAAAGTGACATACAAGCTGCTCCAAGTAGGGTCTAAAATCACCTTCCCATCATACTGCAAGCTGCAGTCAGTCATCCTGTGCTGATTGAATGCAGTCATGCTGCTGCTTGTTCTTGCATCTATCCATGGGTTAAGAATTTTGAAAAAGGACCTTCCTCTGTATAGATTTGGGTATTTTTTGCAGCTGTATGGCATTGCATTCCAGCATGTTTAGATGCTCTATTTTGAATAGTTTGTATTGCAAAGTCTGGATCAGTTGGTACGCTACGATTACAAATATTCTCATGTGATTTGAGTGACAGTGTTTTATTGAGTCGCAGAGGATGTGCAGACTGCACCACCCAAAAAAGGCACAGAAATGAGTGAAGAGTTTTGCCTTTAATGAAATAAAGAATTCTGGCATATCCATCTGGGGACCTTTGCACTTGCTGGATTAGCCAAGTTAGGGCACAGTTCTGACAGCAGGAGATAGTGCCCCCAGGAGAGCCCTTCAGGTGTTACACAGGCAAAGGGTAGCATCTATAGCTGTTCGAGCTGACATAAAAAAAAAAAAAAAAACATAGTTGCTGAGTATAAAGTGTAAGAAATTGCTGGCCCCAAAAGATTAAAATAATTTATACTGTATTTTATTAAATGTAATAATACTTCAGGAACTTGGGGGTTGAATTTCACACCTCTTGAATTATTAATAGTCTTTCTACAGCACAACACAGCAAAAAATGGAAATCTAAATAAGTAATTTTTTTCTTAATATATGTGCACTTTTTCTTGAATTGAGGAGGTTAGGTACTTTTCCAATGGAACAAGACAATTTATACTTAAGATAACAAAAAACAATTGCATTGTCTGATTTCAAGTGTATATTATCTAATTATCTTATTTAAAGAATAAAAATGCTCATTCCATTGGAAAATCACCTTATTTTCCCACTCCAATTAAAGGTAAATACACCTAATTTAAGACATTTATTCTAATTTCTAGATCATTTTTGCAGTGTTTATATTAGTTACTAGAACTTAACCAAATATGCTGGTTAGGTAATGATTAATTTAAAGATCTTACCAGTGTAACCAAGTCTAAAAATTACAGAAGTCCTTTTGAAGTTTACAGTGACTACCAGCTACTATCAAGAACTTACAGGTTAACCACATAAATCTTGGGTGTCACTCTACAGACTCTTCATTCCACCTACAGGTCACTTACACAACTCACTGCAAAAATGATCTAGAAATAAGTAAAAATTTACCCTTTGCCAATGGAATGAGTATTTTTACTCTTAAAATAAGATATTTAGATAAAATGCACTTGGAATATGACAATGCAATAATTGTTATTACTATAAATGTAAATTGTCTTGTTCCATTGGCAAAAGGTCTATTTTACCTCCTCAATCAAAGAACAAATATTTTAAGAAAAAAATGACTCATCTAGATTTAGATTTTTTTCCAGTGGTACCATTGTTTAAAAGCTGCTCTAACTAGGTGACTTAAAGTCCCTTACCGATTATTCACCACGTTTATAAGTTGCCATTCACCAAATATTTTTTTCATGTTTTTAATACTCTTGAAAAGAAACTTACCTCAAACATTCCTGATTTTGTTATTTTGATTTTTATTTAATACTCATAAATATGCTTAAAAATACTTAAATGCCAAATATTTAGAAAACAGATATCTTATTGTTGATGCAACAATTTAGCATCATATTACTTTCTTTTGCATGTTTATTATTTTACATTAATCTTTGCACATATTTGACACATACATAAAGGAATGAATATACCGTATATCATAGCTGAGAAGAAAGTAAAAGAGTTTAAGGAACTTGCATCCTGCTTACCATGGCTGTTGATGAGCAGAGCTAAATACTCTGTGAAGGTGGAGCTGATGAGGAGCAGCAGAGCTGGACTCTGCGTCGTCCTGAAGCTCAGTGAGACATTTTCTCCCCTGAGGATGGAGTCAGGGTGGAAGGAGGAAGGCGAATAACTGCTGTTTCTGCTCAGCTCTTTGGGGTCTTTGATTGTGTAGCTGACAGACGTTGTAGGTTTAAAGTCGGCTGACACCTCTGGAAGACATAAGAGATCCCTTTAAAAGAATGTGTCTGATTTTCTGCAATGCAAACAATGTTAGATGCAGAGGCATCACAGAAAACAGGTGCTTTTTTAGAACAGGGATGATCTCCAACAGCTAGCTTTTATTATTTTGAAAATTAAACGTTTAATGCTTTACTATAACTGGGAAGTATAAGCTTCAGGGATGTGGGAGTCGAGTTGTTTTGATCATTCGTTTGATTCACATCAGAATTTCATTGGAATTATTTTTTTCTTGTAGATTTTATTCTGAGTTTATCTCTATAATAAAAGGACAAAGTTAATTTTCCAAAGTCTTCAGAAGTGACATTTCCAAACAGCACTTAGGTTACTAATTTCTACCTGTAAATGGTTAACTGGGGTATTGCTGACATTTTCAGAACAGGTTCAATAACATCAGTGTCGCTGACTTATTGTTCAGTGATGTTATTAAGCCTCTAATTTACAGTTTTGTCCAGGCAGTAATTAAACGTAAATTAAGTGAAAAGGTCATGTTGTTTACTAGATTTTTAAACCTCTCTCCAGTCTGCGAAGGATGACTTTTTCTTCAGATTTTCTTTACGTGATGCTTTCATCGGTTTGGTAAATACAGTATATCTAGAGATGAAAGCATTTCAATCAGCTATGTTATAAGGGAAGAAATTTCAAGTTTGTAATTTAATTTCCCTCTGTCTTTAATCTGCCCTAAACTGTCCATCAGTTGCAGATTGGAATAAGTCTCAAAACGAAAGTTAAACCCAAAATATCTTTTAAAATGTGATGTGAGTAATGGTGTCACAGAATAACAGCATCAGTAACATTGTTATCTATCAGTAACAGGGTCATATAAAAACTTTCCTCCTTTCAGTCAGTACCTTAGTTAATTGAAATATAATTCTATATCAAGTATGTACAGCCCAATCTACGACGGAGTATTAGGGCCACACATGAAGAGAAAAAACTTTTTTGCCATGACAACATTAAACTCAACATTTCGAGAATAAAGTTAAAATGTCTTATTGAGTTTAATCTCGATGTGTCGACTTTAAACTCGCCATTTCGAGAATAAAGTTGATATATCGTGGCGACTTTAATCTCGACATTCCAAAGTTTGGAGAAAAGAGCAACCGCGCTCCACAGCTGCAGTCTGCGTTTTAAGAGTGAAGGTAGTCTTTGACGTGCTGCAACTGTATAACTGTATAATCATCACAGAAAGTACAATTTGACCAAATCATCTACACAAGACATGTCTGATTCTGGATTCTGTGCATGTATCCTGTGCAGCGGTTGGCTCTCTTGAACTAATTTCAACTTTATTGTCGACACGTCGAGATTAAACTCAACATGACATTTCAACTTTATTCTCGAAATGGCGAGTTTAAAGTCGACAGGGCGAGTTTAAAGTCGACACGTCGAGATTAAACTCAACATGACATTTCAACTTTATTCTCGAAATGTTGAGTTTAATGTCGACAGGTTGACTTTAAAGTCGACATGTCGAGTTTAATCTCGTCATGGCAAAAATATTTTTTCTCTTCATGTGTGGCCCTAATACTCCCTCGTACCAATCTGCTGCAGGAGAGGAATACTTTTGATTTCTCGTGCAGAGATTATGGGATAAAGGCATGGATTTTACGATGCATGACACACAGAGACCAATGACAATAGAACCTTACAGCTGGTTGACTTAGTTTGGAAATACATTGTAGTTTACTTCTTTAAACTTAAACTAAAATCACCTGAATGGTATAACTTTGTTAACATTTATTAACGTAAAGAAGAATGAAAGTATAGTCTATATCGGTGGCGACTGGCCAATAGAGGGCGCCACCCAACTTACCAAATTAACTTGATTAAGACATAAAAACACACAAAAAAATAAAATTATTTTGCAATATATTAATATGTATTTTTTAGTTTTGCAAGATAAATGTTTAATATTTAATGATGAGTAAAGCTGTTTTGTTTGTCATTGGATTGGTGACTTATTTCCACCCTGCTGTGCAAAAATCTTTCACCAATGACTCTGTAAAAGTTGTCCTTGCCCAGTAGCTCCTCTTCAATGATAGGACCATCCTGGGGTGCAGCTCTCCTTTGCCTAGAGCTGAACGCAACTTTATTTTCACTCCACCTCCCCCCACAGCGCTGACGTCACAGTCATCTGTTATAAATTGAGGTTGATTGACAGGTTTATATAATTATTTAGCAACAAGGCTTGGCTAACTGCATGTAGTGAGGCTAAAGCTTTATTCTGCTTTCCCCGCCTCCTTTTTCAAAGGTCAGGATCTGACCCAGCATGGACAAAGAGCACTGTTTTAAAGCACTTTTCCGAACATTTTAATGTTGTTTATCGTTGTTGGCAATCATATAAATATACTGGTGTGATACCTTATTGTACATTTAATAGTTTTTTTATATATTTTGAAGTTATAGACCCCCCTAGAAAAAAAAACACCAGCTGCCACTGGTCTACATGGTCTACTGACTGTAAATCTTTGTGTTACATTTTTTTAAAAGCATAATTTTTCACAAACAAAAATGGTCTAGATAAATGTACACTGAATTATTTTAAACCATTTCATATTTCATAATTAATTCCACAGTTTTAGAGGTAGTTAAGTCTGATGTTCCCACTGTATGCCGATCGGGGCCGAGGCCTTTAAAGGTGATTTTGACTCAAGTCGCTTGCTGAGTCGCTTACCGTGGGTCAACATCATTCAGTGAGCCGTTCCCACTGGCACTAAAAGCTGATTGTACGTGGTTTTTTTTTGTCCAGTTGTATAAGATCCCATCACAGGGACATGGAAGTGCATTTATTAAGCTAGAATGTTACTTTTGTGATACTTTGTGCTGCTTTAATATCTAGTTGATGCATTGCTTCTTTTAATGTTTTAACAAACATGTCACACATTTCTTGATTCTAAAAACCTTGCAGTATTCAGGCCTATCTCTGGCAGGTAAATTTAAATCAAACCTGCTGTAACTTACAAGTAATTTATGTTAACAAAGGTCTGGGTGGTTCAATGGCTTTTTACCTTTGAGTTAACTTTGATTTAACAAATGATGAAAGATTAATCTGCCTTAAATCTGCCTTTTGTATTTACTTTAGCTGATACAGGATATTAGATAAAGTTTGACAAAAAAATCAAAAACTGAGGAAATCTTTAAATAAGGCAAATAAAACAGCAGGTTGTTTAATGCAGCTTATCAGTGCACTACATCTGCTTTTGTTGGAACATTATATGGTTGTTTAGTCGGGAAAAAAACATTTTTGTAAATACAGGAGGTATGTTTTTAAAGACGATTTAGATGTTATTTCACCAGGAAATTGTGATTTCTTTGTAAAGTATTATTCAGTGAGTGTGTCAGTGTGACTCACAAAGAAAACCCGCAGTCTGCAGCAGGAGATGAGTGCAGCAGGAACAACGCATGTCAATACTTGGTGGGTGGTGGGTTAAGAGGGTCGTTCCAAAACACAGACAGCTCGACTCTCTCAACTTAAAGGACTTATGGATTGCCAGAATAAAAGTGCATTGTTAATCACTTTGTTCTCAGTGGCAGTAATGGCAGAAAAAAGGGTTTATTTAAAAAAAAAAAGTCAGACAGACCATAACACACCTTCTGAAACAGAGGTGAAGTCATCCAGAAACCTGTTCTCTGATTATTCAATATAAAAATCTGTCCATTATAAATTTGTATTTATTTCTGTCTTTTTATTATTAAATAAGACCTAATTAAGAAAGATTTGAGAACTGATTTAAAGAGCATACACCATGCAAAATCAGCTTTTTGATTTTTTAACAGTTATAACTCTATTCCTCCATCAAAACCATGCACATAATGGAACCATAAACATACGGATCCAACACCACTTACTTTTCACTTATACATATATATATATATATAGATATATATATATATATATACACATATATATATATATATATATATATATATATATATATATATATATATATATATATATATATATATATATATACTGTATATATATTAGGGTTGTCACGATACTAAACTTTTCAACTCGATACCGATACTATGTAGAATATTCGATACTCGATGTCATTTTTTATACCACAAGGATAAAAACAAAGACTCCAAAATTCAACAGAAATTTTTTCATTAATAAACAAAATACAATAAATAGATAAATAAATACAATAAACAATATTTTGAGGTTGTATGCTGTGCACAATATTAAGAAAGCTTGATAAAAAAAACTTACAAAATTTAAATTAAGTGTTCCTTCCTTGGCTATGCTTTGCACACATAACAATGAGGCTAGCCAAACCGGTTAAAAAACAAAAATAATTCTCAGCAGCTGCACCTGTTACAGAAAAAAGTCTGAAACCGAAAAGTGCACAAAATTATTCAATCACGCAGTGTTCAGAAAGTGCATTTTCCTCTAATCTGCGCATAAGATGAATGATTGTTTAGGTGCCACTGGTGGTAGCACTGTATCGATACTTTTGAAAATTAGTGTTGTATTCGATAGTTTTTTGAGTATCGATACTTTTGACAACCCTATTATATATATATATTCGGTTCGACTGTCTCGGTTCGGTTCGGGTGTGTTTCGTTCGGTTCATGCGCTGCTCCTTTTTCTCATAGGGGAAGCGATTACACTCCAGAGCAGAAGGTGGCGGTACTGCAACCAAAGCCAACCACCAGTAGTAAACAAGAAGAAGAAGAAGCGAAGCAGCGTAAGCCGGGTGTAGCAGAAAAAAATCTGTTGTTGTGGAGAATTGTGTCGGAATGGCGAGCGGGAAAGAACAGGAGTTGGAAGACGCACCAGCAGCACTTTATAGGACTGCTGTATGGGACCACTTTGCATTTAGAGTGACCTATGATGACGGCGGAAAGAAAGTTGTGGATGAAAGTGCAACAGTGTGCAAGCATTGTGCAACACGTTTTGTTCATGCTAACAGCAACACGACCAACATGTCATTCTAACCCCGAAATACCACATACTCCGACAGCTCTCCGCCCTGCAGGCGGATTGGGCTTCCGCTGTTGCTCCCGTCCGCTCCGCTCTGAGTTCCTTGGAGATCATAGAGGGCATGCGCGAGATGATTAAATTCAAAGCAGCAGAACATGCAGAAATTATCCATGGTTTCCGCGGATCATTAAAAATAATTACAATTCATACATTTTTTTTTTTTTCATTAATTTCATTAATTTTTATTTTTTCATTAATTTTTATTAATTTTTTTATTTTTCGGTGTAACAATAAACATATACCGAACCGAAAACCGTGACCACGAAACCATGGACTGAACTGAACCGTGGATTTTGTGAACCGTTCCACCCCTAATATATATACATATAATCCATATTCCAACTTTCCTGTATAATCTGAATAGTCCATGCCCACATGTAAATACTTATCTATATCCTGTATAGCACTTCTGGATAGAGGCAAACTACATGTTGTTGCTTTGTACTTGTGACAGTGTAATAACAATAGAGTTTAATTCTATTCTGTTCTATTATATTATATTTTATTCTATTCTATCTTATTTTATTTTCTCTTGATTTTTGCATCTGTGCGTAATCCACATGAGTCCTGCTGTCTGTGTAGCAGCACCTCCCTGACCTATTTAAATCAGCAGGTGGAAGCCATCTAAATAACATGGCTCACTCCTGGAACCAGCTACCTTAACCACGCAGTGCCGGCATTCTGTCAGATCAGCATATCCAGAGTCAATACACATGCTCAAGATCTCAGATTTGCATACACGTATGCTAGTCCTGTTTATCCCTTTAGTCATGTACAAAAAAATATTTAAGGTCGGATCACCACACGCTTCAAAAAACACCAAAAAGTAAGTAAGTAAATTGTTTTTTTATACATGACTAAAGGGATAAACGCCCATTGAGGTAGTTTAAAGTGTATTTTTTGTACAAAACTAAAGGGATATACTGAAGGGATAAAGTAAAGGGATAAACTGAAGGGAAAGTGGGTATTGACTATGGTTAATTCAATTCAATTCAGTTTATTTATATAGCGCCAAATTCACAACACATGTCATCTCAAGGCACTTTACAGTTCAACCAGATCATACAGTCAAATTGATACAAAGTTTTCTGTCTAAGGAAAACCAGTTGATTGCATTGACTCATTGACTCAAATACAATCCCTCACACTAAGCATGCTTGTAGCGACAGTGGAGAGGAAAAACTCCCTTTTAACAGGAAGAAACCTCCAGCAGAACCAGGCTCAGCGTGAGCGGCCATCTGCCGAGGCCGACTGGGGTTCAAGGAGACGGAAGCAGAGACACAAAAAGCAGCTGTAAAAGGCGGCCCCGTCCAGGAAACACACAGCCAGGCAGACGAGCTCCGAGCCAGCTCCCATTCCGGAGGACGAAGAGAGCACTTCCACTCAGTCACGGTCAGAGAAACAGGACCACACTGGAAAACAAGCCGATCTCCAACATCTATAAACAAGGGTGTTGATGGAAGCAGCACAGCTGATGTTTCTTTCCAGGATGACGTCACAGCCAAACAGTTATGGTGGTCTGATGGGGTATGCTGATCTGACTGCAAAATATGCCCACTATCTCCTATCAGGAAGGAGTGATGTGAAGCAGAGTGCAAAGTTAAGATGAGGTCTCTCTTTTGGCAGCTAATCAAAACAGGTCAGAAACCTCTCTCTTTTAGATTATGTCTAAGTCTGGAAAATCTGTTGTTGGCAGCGAGTGGTCTCTGACTTTGTTCAACCTTCCTATTGGCATGATAAGGCGAGGTCATGAAACGGGGGGAGTTGGCTTCAATTTGAAGGCAAGTGTTTTTTCTTCAGGGTTGGAAGAAAAGAACCATATTTTATTAAAAAGCAATACCCATGTAGTGCTAAAGGTGTTGTTTCATTATATATTTGCCTGTAGGTGATTTTGAAAGGTATAAAAAGCAAGGGATTTCTGTGTTTCTTCAGCAGAAAAACTGCTAAATAACTTAAAAATAGTCATACATAATAAAATAGGATATCGTTGAAAACCTTCCTGGTAACTCTGTTCAATTAGAAAAAACACAATAGTAATTAGACACAGTCTGATGTTTTAAAGCCTTCATTTTTGTTAACTATGATTAGTTTTTGATGTCATGTAGAATTACAACATTTAAGATAAGAATATTACATCAGATTTATGAAAAAATAGAAATTAGATCTCATCAGAGTCAAAATTCTTATTATAAGTGTATAATCCTTGTTACTGTGATTGGGGTCTTTGTCTATAAGTAAATATAGAATTTAAATAGATATCACAGATTTGTGGGTCATTCTGCAAGATATGAACTAAGAAATAAAGCTTCTATTTTTATCTTTATTCACCATTATCCACAGTTCACCTTGATGTGAGAGGGAAATGTTGATTACAGCTCTATAGCTCTTGTTTTCTGCTCAAATATAGACTTAAAGTCACCTCTCTTTTCTGCGTACCTGTATGGCAGAAGGCTCCGATGTAAGCAGACAGGCTGCAGTCACAATGGAAGCCGGTGGTTTTCTCCACACAGCGTCCCTGATTCTGGCACAGGGATCCGTAGCTGCTACAGTGACCGGGGCAGCCGGGTCGAACCCCCGGCGTGATCTCTGCCCTTTCCTCCAGGTCCAGAGTGACTCCGTTCAGCTGCAGAGAGCGGATACAGCCTCGGAAACCCCTCTGTCTGGACGCTGTGCCTCCTAGAGACATAAACATGAAAATATATATATATTCTTTTTAAAATAAAGATACAGTCAAAGGAAAAATAGCGTGCTTTAATCTTCCAAACAGCTGCACTGGAAAAAATCTAAAATCTAGATAAGTCATTTTTTTCTTAAAATAAGTGCATTTGTTTTAGGATTAAGGAAGTAAAAGATGGAACAAGAAATTTTATAATTAAAATAAGAAAACACAATTACATTGTCTTATTTCAAGTGCATTTTATCTAAATATCTAATTTTAAGAGCAAAAATACTCATTCCATCGGCAAATCATCTTAATTACCTACTTAAAGGTAAATACATTTAATTAAAGAAATTTTTTACTTATTTCTTGATCATTTTTCCAGTGTGTGATAAAAACTACACTGGAAAAATTTGAAATTAAAATAAGTGCATTTCTTCTTGGATTGGGGAGGTAAAAGACATATTTTGCCAATGGAACAATTTACAATTTACACTTAAAATAGGAAAACACAATTACATTGTCTTATTTCAAGTGCATATTATCTAGGGATGGGAATCGAAAACCGATTCCTGTTAAGAACCGGTTCCGTATTTTCCGATTCCATGGCATCGTTTGGCAGCTCGCTGAACGATTCTTTTTTCGATTCCCGCAGCACCAGAGCCTAGAGCGCCGGCTCTGGGGAGCACTATTCGAGGAGGAAGACAACGAGCTGCGGTCACTTTGTGAATCAAAGCCCCGTCTTTCCTTAGCCCAGAGGGTAGATCAGGAAATCCAGCTCTGTAAAAGCTTGCCCTCCATCCCCTGCAGGGATAGCGCCACACTGTGGTGGTGGAAGAAGCAAGATACGCTGCCCTTGCTATCTGGACTGGCTGAAAACTACCTCTGTGTGCAGGCTTCCTCCACCCCATCTGAGAGGGTGTTTTCCACGGCTGGAGACACCATAAGCGCTGAAAGATCCCGTATCCTTCCAGAAAAAGCAGATATGCTCATCTTTCTGCAAAACAATTGTTAATTTTCCCTCACTGCAAAAACGATCTGAAATTAAGTAAAAATATCTTAAATCAAGTGTATTTACCCTTAATTTGAGCAGGTAAATAAGACAGTTTGCCAATGGAATGAGTATTTTTACATTTAAAATAAGATAATTAGATAATATGCACTTGAAATAAGACAATGCAATAGTTTTTTTCTTATTTCAAATGTAAATTGTCTTGTTCCATTGGCAAAATGTGTCACTTACTTACTCAATTCAAGAAAAAATGAACTTATTTTAAGAACAAATGACTTATTTAGATTTACATTTTTTGCAGTGCTACTACTGTTTTATAATTAGTATTTTTTGTTATTTAAAATAGGTTATTATCCCATCATTTGTTATTAGACATTGTTGGTTATTAAGTTTGTTCTTGTATTCATTTTTCATTTAAACACAGATGTTACTCCAGTTTCACGTTTCCTGTGGACATCTTGATCTTGTTGAGTTTGTAAGATTGTGCAATAGTTAAGTAAACAAAGTTGATTCTGATAATCAAACTGTTTGTTCTCCTTTTTCCCCCAAATTGGAATCGAAAAAAGAATCGATAAAGAATCGAATCGTTTCATAGAATCGAAAAGGGAATCGGAATCGTGAAAATCTTTTCAATTCCCAACCCTAATATTATCTAATCATCTTATTTTAAGAGTAAAAATACTCATTCCATTGGCAAACTATCTCATTTACCTACTCAAATTAAGGGTAAATGCACTTAATTCAAGACATTTTTACTCATTTCTAGATCATTTTTTCCATTGTAAGTAAAACCTTTCTCCCACAGGGTTAAAAAGAGACATAAGCTCTAATATTTCATGGGTCTGCATATAAATTCAAAATGAAGCAAATGCTTTCTTTGGTTTCCAGCAGCCGACGCTGCAGTGAATTAACCACACATTCTCAAGTTTCATGATTTTCAAAGAAAAAACTTTTCAGCTGAAAATGAAGAAGTAAGTTGGGAGGAATTGTGTAACGAGGAGTTTTAATGATGCTTTTCTTTTTCATTCAGATGGGATTCTGTTGTTCCCATAGCTCAAACATGACAACCTTTCAAAGTAAAGATCACGAGCTGAAGCTTCTTTTGTACTTGAAGAGCAAACTCATGAAGCAGCTGTTTGCTCTCTGAGGTTCAAGATGACAGCTTCCTATTCTCCACACCAGTAAATCACTGTAAGACTCTCCTCTCTAGGCCCACAGTCTGTGCTCTGATATGACTCATAAATTATTAAAGCTGTAATGCTACAGATGACAGGAAACCTCCTTTAGTGTCTCTTCTGGGAAAACACAAAGAGGAGCAGTTGTCTGTCTTTCATTAGTAAATGACCAACATTAATACATGAAAAGATAAACTTCTAACGATCACTCACACGCTGACACGGATCCACTTAACAGCCACCGATCAGGCTTTTTATGCAAATATCACCACAGTTTAATCAGTGTCAAACTCACAGCTACTGTTATTCTGCTTTCTGCATAATGATTCCGGTAATTAAGCTGCAAATTCACATTTTCACTTCAACAGTTCCCAGAAGAGCAACTAATTCAGCCTCAAACACCTGCAAGAAATTCATTCTAGTAAAATTCATATTTAAAGCTTCAAGCAAGACCTTCTCTCAATTCTGAGGTTTAACAAATTGGGATCTAATTAAAATTAATCTGGCTTTAAAGGGTTTAATAAAAAAATGCAAAGCAGGTTTTAGTAACATATTTAAAAATGTAACAAATCCTAATTAGAGATGCGGATTTTAAATTAATGGTGATAGGTAATATAGTTAGCAACAACCAAAAAGCGCCCACCCCCCAACATCATTAAAGCATTGATGGTGCACCTCATTTCCACAATCATATTTTTGATTTAAGACCATTTAAAACCCTCCCTGTGATACCAGCATGGATTTAGGGCCACCCTAGATAGAATGTATTAGTTGCTGCTAAGGAGTATTTATTTTTTCGGAAGACAAAATAAATTTCAAGATAAACTTCCCATATTTGTAAAATAAATAAATAAATAAATAAATGTTTGGTCTGAGAGGTTCCTGCCTTAGACGCTCTAGTAGCTGTTACAGCAGATCCATCATGCTTTACACTGGAAAAAAAAATCGAAATTTAGATAAGTAATTTTTTCTTAATATAAGTGCATTTGTTCTAGGTTTGAGGAGGTAAAAGAGAAATTTTGCCAATGGAACAAAACAATTTACTCTTAAAATAAGAGAAAAACAATTGCATTGTCTTATTTCAAGTGCATATTATCTAATTATCTTATTTAAGAGTAAACATACTTATTCCATTGGCTAACTATCTGATTTACCTACTCAGATTAAGGGTAAATACACTTAATTTAATACATATTTACTTATTTCTAGATTGTTTTTCCGATGTAAGAACTGCTTTTTGAGTAACCCCACTGTCTGTCTTGCTTTGAATACTGGGTACTCCGTTCTGAGTCCTGACGTGAACAGACATCATTAAATTTGTATTTTTTCAAAACCTTGTCTTATAGAAAATGTTACTATTTTAATCAGTATAAAATGTAAATTTTAACTGCTTACAAATTATATATTTCAAGCTGATTGATGTTCGTATTAAACTGAATCTCAACTCATGGTGCCGCTTGTTGCGACATCACAGACACATTTATTTTATGCATTAGAGGTTTGAATGCCTATAAATGAATCTTTGGATTTTAAAAATGAGTATGCCTAATAGATATTTTATGTAGAAAGTAAAGAATACAAAACCAATAAATGAGTCCTCTGATATACATTTAGCATTTGACTTAATCCACAATTAGGAGCATAAAACATCGACATGAGGGGAAAAAAAGTCTGGATTTGTTCCACTACCATAAGCTGGAATTTTTAGAAAATAACCAAGTGTAGCATTGGGAAAAGTGGTTAAATGAGAACAACATTAACACCATTTGAATTCCTCCTGTGAAAATAAAAGCTTGGGTTACTAAATGCCTCAGAGTGCTTTTAACATTTTAACACTTCATGTTCGTTTTTATCCAGAAAGAAATTTGAGGCTGAGGTGAAAATTCATCCACAGTTTGTCCTGAGGCTGCGAGTGAAAACCATGCATGATTGCAAATGGTTGTGTTTTCCTCATCAGATCACAGTTGGAGGAAAATCGGACTCACTCGAGGAAATTCCAGACTTTTGAAGACTCAAAAGCTCTTCGCTTGACCTTGTTAGTCATTTAACAACTTTAAAGGTCTAAAATAACTCAGGCTTTTTAAGAGGACCAGAAAGGATAAACCTTTTATTAATGAATCATTAAACAAAGCTCAGTCTGCACAGATTAGTGGATGACTATACCAGCAATTTGTTAATCGAAATAAATCGACAGTAAGAATACCAAATTTGGTACTAAAAAGGAGGAATGTAAAGCATAGATTTATTTTAAGAACAAAGCAAAGCTGATGGTTAAGCCTCTGCTCAGAGAGAAGAGTGAAGAAACTACAGATAAAGCAGCTCTGAGTGATCAAAGCTGCAAGGCTTGACAGACAGAGATAACCGTATCTGCATTGAGAGAGCATTTTGTTACTATGAGGGATGAAATTAATGTTTCTAGATATCTAGAAAAGAATATAACCACCTAGTCTTAACCAAAATCAGCTATAATTTGACAGTCTGTTTTATTTGTACAACTCACCTTCAGGCTCTGTGAGCAGACAGGAGGAATACGAGCACTTGTTAACAACAGATGATGTAATCCTAGACCCACTGCAGTGGAGGAGTGTCCCTGCATTCAGAGTAACTTCACTGATAGCAGGGTTTTTCTTTATCATCAAACCTTAAGCCTAGAAAAACGTCAAACTTAGTGTATTTTATTGTGAATTATATTCTAGAGTTTATGTGGTGGATGAATGCAAAGCCCAGTAATATTATAAAGCTGTAACAAAATTGATGGTTCCAGTAAATAGAATCCATATGAGTGTCCTTATATTTTATTTTAAAAATCCAAAAAGATCAAAAGAATTAA